GATCCCCAGCGTGTCCCTCTCCAGCACTGCCACCAGGGTGTCTGCAAGGCACACACACAGGGACCCTGGTCACCCCGGGAGCAGCCAAGGGGACGCAGGAGCGACCCAGCAAACAGCATCTCCCAAAAGTGCTGCCTGCAGCCTCCGAGGGGGATTCATCTGCATATTCCATCAGCAGGGAACTCGCTGGAGCAGCAAACAGAGCCCGTTTAATTGGCACGTTAACGCAAGTGCAGGAGGATGAATTGCAACTTACTTGGATGAAACAAGCAGCCTGAGAGCCAGAAAGGTGACCCGTGCCTTACCTCCACAGCCCGTCTCATTAGAGCAAGGTTAAAGTCTGAATTTTAATGTTCATTAACTGTGCCCAGCAAGTTTGGAAACTGCAGAGGATAATTAAAACAGCCAGTTCTCAGTTCCAAAAACACAACACCTTTTTAACTCCAAAACCTGACAAAGACTTGGGGAACGAAGCCAACTGCACAAAAAAAGGCAAGTTACGCCCACCCAAAACCTGCCAACATCAACACAGGAAATGGGCTTTGTGTCATGCCCAGAAAACTCGAGTTGCACCAAAGTAAGCAGATTCCAGGGTATTTCTGCAGGCAAGCCAGCAAGCTCTTTGGCACATGCCCTGTCTCCAGCCACTTCATGCCAGCGACTGTTCAACAGATTGCTCCAGAACAGCAGAGCCCCAGAGTGCCAAGAATCAACCTGTGACAACTCTGGAGACGAGCTGGTTATGAAAGCAGGGCGGGGAGGGGGGGAGCAGAGCTTACCCAGGTCGATGTCTGTGAACCCCTCTGCATTGATGGCGTCTGAGGTGTTCTTGTCGATGTTCTCCAGGCACAGGCTGGCCAGCTGGGGCTCATCGAACAGCCGGGCCTGCTCGGGGGACCAACACAAACAGCATTGTAAAGTTTGCATCAGCACCCCCTTCCCCTGCCAGAGCCCATCTCCAGCAGCAATCCTACGCCTGACTGCACCAGGAATCCACTGGGCCTTTCACAAGCAGTTAAGCATGACAAGGCAAACCCCAGAAAATTCTGCTGTTTGGCAGCAGCTCTGGCTCAGCTGTGCATGTCTTCAGGCACGTCTTTGTTCCAGCACTGCATCAGTGCAGGCACCAACTGTGCTTTCCGGCACCATACTGACCATGTCAGCTGAGCAGGGGCAACTTTTACATCATTTTTATAGCTAGAAGAAAGCTCTGCCCGGTGACTCCAGGCCTGCTCACTCTAGGAATATGCAGAGACAGCTTATTCTGTAAGAACTGCCACACTGATCTCCTGTGTTAGCAAAAACAGTGTCTGTGTCCCAGGCAGACCTGCAGCCCTGGGGGGGACACAGCCTGCTTAGTGCATTTCCATGTTTTGCACAGAAACAGCCACTCTAATCCAGTTATCTTAAAGGATTCTCCCCAAAATAGGCTACTATTCCAAGCAAAGCCTGCACACAGCTCGGAGAGTTGCTCAGAATTTCTCTGCCCAGCTTAAGTGCTGCCACTCCAGATCACCCTGCACTGCCATGTGTTACCAAGCCCCTGCCCAGCACAAGCAGAAAATGAGCTGGAACACCCAAAAATCACTGAATGACCTCTTACTTCCAGTGCTTTGGTTTTGCTATTTAGGAAAGAACTGCCCTGACATCACACCTAACAAGAATACACTGGGACTTGAACTCACTGCCACAGACAAGGGTTAAAACTCGTGTTTTGGGCTGGGAATTGCACCACTCAGAAGGCACCTTTGAGCAGCTTCTGCTGGACCCTTGCTCGTGGGCTGCAGAGCTCAGCAAGGCCAAGCTCTGATGCCAAGACCTCAAGTGCAGAGAGCTGAAAAAACTGTATTTTCTCAGGGCCCAGGGAGGGTTCAGCAGTCGTCACCTGCTCCTGGGGCTGGAGCTCTGCCAGTGCCTTCCACTCCTGGCACCAAGAGCTGTGACTGACTCAGACTTTACTACTGTAGTGGCTCTTCTGACACGTGAGCACTCCCACTACACCCACAGAGCTCTCCCCCACAGCAGCTCCAGGCAAGCTGTATTTCCTTGCTGATCAAAGTGACACTGGGATGAGGGGCTGGTCCACCACAGGGCACAGTCAATTAGAAAGGCTGTTTGCCACTGATGTTTCTGCCAGAGATCAGCAGTTGCTGGAGATGCTGTTGGTGACGCAGCTGCTGGACCAGCACACGGGGCAGTGACACTCAGAGGGGGTTTGGGGCTCTCTGATCTCAGGGCTGTGACCTTAAGGCTGCTGGGCAATGCCTTGTACAAGATCTATCTCAGGGCTGTAATTTACTGTGCAAGCTGTTGATTTGATGCAGTAAGAGCAGAAAACAGGCAGATTGTCACACTGAAGGTCCAGACCCAAGAGCACTGTGAGAACACATCCCTTCAGTGAGGTGTGTCCTGCAGCCAGTCATGGAGACACCAACACGTTTCCCAAAGCACATCAGCCTCAAACCTCTTAGAGACTTGATACAGAGCAGCAGTGAACATAAACTAGATGAGAGTCACCACTGATCATCAATCACAATGGATGAGTCACAAACAAAAGGAACCAGGAAAACCTTTCCCCATCTGGCATCTCAGCTGCCTCAGTGCCAGGCAGTATCTTGGTTTTGGCACCTGAAAAACAAGGGCACCTTCCTCTTTCGCCAAAGAAGGACCTTTGTGACCTGTAAGGAAGTCCTCATAAACCTAAATATTACCTTGCCAAAGCTGCAAACTTGGGTGCAGAGACTGAGCAAGCCACAAAAAAAATCCCCGTAGAAAGAACATCCCCAAAAGCTGACACCTCCAACCCTCACGAGGCAAAGGCTAGTGTGAGGGATCCCCCCAAAACTGCAGCCTCCAGGGAAGAGCTCCTCCCAGCTCTTGGCCAACAGCTCCTGATCTTTGAGATTGCAGCTGCTGAACCCAAAGAACGGGAGAGCTGCAGCCAAGGAGTTACAATTGTCCTACCACACATCAGATGGGAGGGCAGGTCTGGCTGCCACTGCCCAAGCAAGAGCCTTTAAGTCCTAAATGTTCCTCTGGGAAGTGCAGTGTGGATTTCCCCCATGTCCTGGAGCTGCCTCACCTGTTTATGGCAGGTGGAAAAGGGTCAAGTTAAAGAGGATGTGTGAGGAGGGACATGGTGTGTTGCAGCAGGAGCTGAATCCAAGCAGTGACAAGCGTCTACAACAGCAACATGACGTGGAACTACTTTAAGAACTTGATCCAAATATTTAAACTCAAAATAAAATCCCAGCCTAATCCCCAGCAAAGAGCTCAGCTGTGATTGCTTCAGGCTAACACTGCCTCAATATCTGCAAAACTGCTGGTGTAGCACTGCCACCAACATGGTGCCTACAGCCAGAGAGACATGGGGACTCCTGACAGAGGGGGGAATCCAGCAGACAGGAATGCTGGGCAAGTCAGGGCAACCCCTCAGAGCCAGACCACCTCAGTGTGCTGGTTCCCAGCTCAGGGCAGCTGGGAAAACAACTCTGCAAGGTTTGTTCCACATCAGACTCTGTGGCAGCTTTCCTGAGCTGGCTGATCAGGAATATCCCTCCAGGGTGAGTCCAGTCAGCCCATTCCAGAAAGGAAAGAAACCCGCACATAATGCCTGAGTTCCCTGTTCCTACAGCACCCAGGGCAGGGTGCAGTGCCACAGACACTGCCACACAGGGGACAGCACTGTGGGTGCCACCAGTATGCTGTCAGCTGTCAGCACAGAGGGAAAAGTGGGGCTGGGAAACGGGAAGGATTCTCATTTAATCACCCTGCACACAAAGCCTGATCTTCTCCAAAAGGAGCAAAGTTGTAAAGACTGTCCTCTAGTTTGCTGCTTCAAGAGTCCAATGGAGGATGGAGGAGCCCAACCCTCACAGAACAGATCAGACACAGGGGCAAGAGGATGTGCAGCTGGTCCCACAGAGAGCCAAGGACACTCCAGGCCTGTGCCTGCAGTGCAGGAGGGTGAGCAGGGACAGGCTGAGGAAGAGAGCACCTCGCTCCTCTCCGAGGAAAATCAACCAAAGCACTCATGAAAAAGTTGCTTTTTCTCCCACTTCAGGGGAAGTGCTGCACAGAAGTCCTCTCCAAGGAATGGCTGAGCAGCCACACACAGCACCGAGAGCACACCAGTCCCGAACCTGTAATACAGGGAAATCCTCTCATCCCACTTTCCTTCCTGGCAGATGAACTCTTTCCACCTTGTTAACTCCATGCCCAGTTCACACTCTGGAAGGAATCACCTGCCACAGCAAAACAAAGATCTGAAAGAGCAGCAAGATTTGCTGTATTTTATTGCTCCTTGCAAGAACCTGCTCATGAGCCCTGGACTCCCATGAGGAAGAATTCCAGCTGACCCAGAACTGCTCCATTTGGGATGATCAACTTCCTAACACTCGGAAAATTCCCGTTTTCCTGCTGTGCTGGGCCTCGCTCCAGGCAAAGGACCCCAGACTCACCTGTGTTAACAGCATGAAGGCGTTGTCTGCTCGGAGGTTTTTTTTCAGGAACTCCACACAATGGGCTTCCAGGGCTGGAACTGCGTATTTTTTAGCTGTGTAAAGTGTTGTCATAACAGTCTCTGGTCCAATCTGAACTTCGTCTGAGTAAAGAAATCTGAAACAGGCAAACAAACATCACTGTGGTGGACTGAGGCAACAGAGTAAAACCCCTGCAACTCACAAAAAGCATGTTTGTGCCTCTGCCTGTCACCCTGGCCCCATTCCCTGCACCAGGGAGAGGGAAGGGTTTCACATCCTTTCTGCTGACTCTGGTTTACCAAGGAGAAGCTTCTTTACCTTTTTTTTTTTTTGTAACAGACACTTTACAGTATAACTTTCAATAGCTGGGACACCCACTGGAGCACCTTGAACTGCCTTTCATCCAGTGAGCTCTGACCCTCCACTTACACCAGGCTAGAACAGTCTCTGGCCAAGTGCACCCCTTAAAATTCACAATTTTGGCTGTTCAATTAGGACAAAAATCCAACCCTCCCTTCAGAAGAGGAGCTCCATTTTACAGTACCAATTCAGAAGTGCTCAGAAGCACTCAAACATATCCACCCACTGCACACGAGGTGCTTCATCCACACCTCACTTTCTCCTCATCACTTTATGGATCAAACCGTTCCATTTCATTGCAGAGGTGTTAAGTACAGCTCACAGTGTGACCTCAGCATAAAGCAAGAGTTAATTGCAATGAAAAACAAGAGTTAATTGCAACGAAAAACAAGAGTTAATTGCAATGAAAAACAAGAGTTAATTGCAATGAGAAACAAAGGCTGCCACGCTGCAGCAAAGCACAGCCTTCCCTGCCAGGCCAAAACAAGGAAGTACATTCATACCCCATGGAAAAACAAAGGCAACCTGACTGTGCTCCCTCACACCTGAGCACACTGACCAGAGAGAGCAGGAACCAACAGGCTGAGCTCAGTGAAACCAGTGACACACTGGTGTTAGTCCTAATCAGAGAATCCCAGACTGGTTTGGGTTGGAAGGGACCTTAAAGCCCATCCAGTGCCACCCCCTGCCATGGGCAGGGACACCTTCCACCAGCCCAGGTTGCTCCAAGCCCTGTCCAACCTGGCCTTGGACACTTCCAGGGCTGGGGCAGCCACAGCTGCTCTGGGCAACCTGTGCCAGGGCCTCCCCACCCTCACAGCCAACAATTCCTTCCCAATATCCCATCTCTCCCTGCCCTCTGGCAGTGGGAAGCCATTCCCCCTGTCCTGCCACTCCAGGCCCTCGTCCAAAGTCCCTCTCCAGCTCTCCTGGAGCCCCTTTAGGCACTGGAAGGGCCTCAAAGGTCTCCCCAAAACCTTCCCTCTCCAGGCTGAGCAGCCCATGCACAGTTTTTGTTCACTGTTTTCCCTTTAACCAGTGGAGCATTTGCCAGTCAGGGTCTCAAAGGCACAAAGCACAGAGATGTAACAAAGTGTGTTCACTGTGCTTGGCATTCCTGTTCCATGGGATATTTGGGAAACTCCAGCCAGTTCTCCTCCTGCATTTCTCTGAAGGGGACACAGCAGCACATTGTGCTGCTCCTGGAGGGCTTTTCCAGCGGGATGCCAGGCAGGATTCCCATCTGCAGCAGTGGAACTCCTGCTCCTCCAGCCACAGAGGGCCAGGATGCCATTCAGGGAAGCATAAACAGCGGGATTCACAGGAAGGGAAGCACTCTCTCTGCTGAAAGCAGCTTTTGTGCTGCTCCAGAGCATTTGTCAATAGCAGCATCAGGTTCATCAATGTATTTTGCACACATCCCCTCCCAGCCCCATTTGCACTGAGCAATCCTTTTCATTCCAGGATTAAAGGAACACAGTGCATCTAAACCCAACTATTTATTTACTGCAATGACTGTGTGAGTATTTCTTTTTGCATCATGTTAGTATTTCTGCTTACAACAGTCCAAACAGTGTGTGCTAAGACAGGCCTAAACTGTGAGAAAGTGTACTATCAATTTAAAAGAACATTTAGATTATAATCCCAGACAACCAAAAGTGTTCTTATCTTTGGGTGACCTTGAAAACAATAATAATAAAAAGGGATCTCTTGCACAGTTACAGCAGACCCGTTAAAGGCCACTAACCCACCAACACCATCAGGATCTAGCACCCAGATGGGACCTTCTGCAGAACATCCAGGATGGGCACTGTGTCCCTGGATAAGCTCCTGATCCTACAGCATTAGATCATGCCTTGGACCAAGTCCAGAGACACGTGTAAGGATCAGCTGCCACTCCATATCAGTGTCTGGAGGGGCTGGTTTCACTCTGGGAAGGTTCACACCACATACTCACCCTCCTCCTGGAGTGCAGCACCCAAACCCCCCCTGGCACCTTTCAGCTCTGAAAAACTGACACTTAAAAAACTGACACTTTAAAACTGACACTTCCAATTCTAGATTTAAGCAATGCAAGGTGTCACTGGACCATGGGCACTGCTCCTGCAGCTGGACTGCAGGCTCAGAGGTGACCCCCACACCACTTCTGCTGAAACCCACCTAAACTCATCACTTTGGGGCTCTTCTGAAATCAGTTTAATCAAGTGCTGAAATCTCAGGGAAACAACGTGCCTTTTGCCTCTAATTCACTTGCTATTTGAGCCTCCCTAAGATTTAAAGATAGTTACTAACCCTGCCCTCCAGAGAGATGCACCTGCCTGACAGTCACACACCAATTAGAGGGATTCCCCACGTGCTGCTCTCTGCTTCAAAGGGAGCCAGAGGGGAGGGGGCTCGGGGCTCCCAATTATTTCTGGCCTTTCATTCCAGCCAAGATCAATTTTAAAACATTCTCAGATAGCACAGGAACGACCAAAGCACTGTCTGAAGGTAAAGCAAAAAGTGTGCCAGAGCTATATATAGTCACTGTTCCCAATGGGAAGCAAGCAGGGAACGTGTCAAGAGCACAGGGCTGGAAACCCCTGGAAGTAGGTTACAGAAATCCTATAGAACCAGGACAATGCCTTTCCAGCAGCCATTCAGGATTGCTGGTGGATGTTGTACAGCACCAGCCAAGCTTAAAGGAATTGGTGAATAGGATGTTCCAGCCCCTTCCTCCTCCCCCTTCCCCAGAAACACACACTGGAAATGTAAATTCCAATCCAGCTCTCCAAAAGAGGAATAAATCCCACACAAAGGGTGAAACCACATGGAATGGCTGACATTAATTTCATACTCCTGCTTACCTGTTAGAACTTGCTCATAACCTAAACAGGCTCCAAGTATTTGTAACTTACAGAGCTTTCAGAGGATCACTTTTCCTTTTCCCCTCTTCTCCCAAAGAATTTGATCCAAATTTGGTTTGGATCAAATCAAACCAATTAATGAACAATAATTTACGAGACAATGGCTGATATTTTATATATATATGTATATTTGTGCAGTAGCACAAAAATAGTAAAAGTCTAGTGACTTTTACCCAGAAAAGAGAGATTTAACACCAGAATTGACCCTTGAACAGATCAAAGGGGCATTTTATTCAGAAAATCAACCATCTCCACTCAACAAAATAGCTCCTTGCTTTCACTAGAAATGTTTTTTCCCACAGTGCTTCCCAGTTATCCTGTACTTTAGGAGCAGCTTACTTGAGCAGGGCTAGGAAGGCAGCAGGCTCCACGTCAGGCAGCTCAATCTCTGTGGAGGTTGTGGCCATGCCACCATTAAACATGGCATCGAAGACAGCACTGCCCACAGCCAGCACAAACCTGGGGAGGAAAGACAAAGGAACAAAAACCTGATGTTAAATCAGAGTTATTTAAAAAAAAAAAATCCCAGGCTTGCTGCTAATGCCCAAAGCCACCCTCAGGGAAAGCAAATCGTTCCTAGAGCTGAAGCAAAAGTGTTTTGCAAGAGCAGGGAGTGCCAGGCTGGCTGTTCCTCCACTGCAAAGCACCAAAGCTGCAAGGAACTCCTTTCTGAGCCCTGTCCCGGGACACAGCACAGCAAAAGGTCCCCAAAGGCCAGAGTTTGGGCACCATGGAACAGAATACACGTGGCTGCTTTGTTGCAGCAGGCTACAGACTGCCCCGAGGCTGAGAAGCTAAAAAAGAGCAAAGTTCACGAATTCAAGTTCTTCCAGAGCTCAAGTCGTGGTGCAATTCCCCACAGTCACCCACTGGAAAACTGTCACCAGACAATCTCCATCCTCCTTCCTCCTCCCCAGGGACACATCCCTGGTGACAGCAGGGCAAGCTCCCAACACATGACATTGCTCTGGCAGCAGTACTGGGAGCTGTGGGCCCAAGAGGAGCCTTCCCTGGCCATGCTGCTGCCTCCAGCCCTGCAAAACCTGCTCCAGAGGGCAGAGCAAACCCCCACCCTGGGGTGCACATCGACCCTCCCACACTGCTGGGAGTTCATGTGGTAGGTACTAGGGAGAGACACGTTATTGGCCCTGAAGAAACTGGAAGCAGGAACTTCCACAAACCAGGTTTGAGACCAAAAGCTGTATTCCAGCACTCCCATGAGAACAAGATGATTCCCTCCCTGTTAAACACCAGCTCCTGCTTTAGGAGGAAGCCCAGACCTGGGTTGCTGGGGGGCCTGTGTAAGTTTAAGCTGCTGTTCCTGCCCCAGGACTGAGAAAAGCCATTCTGAGAACCTTCCCTGCTTGAAAATGCAGAGGTGAGTTTTTACCAGAAAATTAATCTTACTCCCTGTGTCTGCAATCCCACAGCTCCCTGAAATCAAACCCAGCCCTGGCCACGAAGGTGTGGGGAAGCAGAAGGTGACTGCAACAACTTCTCCACCAACTAGGAAAAGGAAGGAGCTGGAACATTCCAGGCTCTTGCTGCAGCAGTTTGATGCCCACTTCCACAGAGCAGGATCAAGAACTGTGGGCAGAAATCCATACAGGACAGCAGGCACAAGGCAAAAACCTCCAGTACCCGTAGCCCAAGGAAAGTCCAACACTAAAGGGGAATTCCAGTCAGATTTAGTACGAAATGACCTTTGAAAAGCAGGAAATTTCCATTTAAACAACATTTTTCATTTTCTCGCTTTTCATTCCCTTGCAATCCAGAGGAGGCTTCCCATGGACACAATGGAGTGAAGCCCCATGGACGTGCCAGGCTTGTGTGCTGTGACAGAGTCTGGCTGCTGAGCTGGTTGTATTGTTCCTGTTGGGCTCAGGGAGCTGGGCACAAACCACAGCGGTTACAAAAAAGTACACACGCGTATTTCCGTCAAACAAGCCTCAAGAAAAACGTCAAGAACAAATAAAAACCTTCCTCACAATACCAGAACTGCCAGATGAAACAAAAATCCTTGTTCCTCCAAGAGCAGTGATGGTGGCGGGACAATCATGAGCTTTGTTTGCTACCCAAAATTAACATATATTAATGGAACTCTCCAATTTTCATCCTCACAGCCAGCACAGGATAGGTCCTCAATGAGCAAGAGCTTTCAAATCTATTTGAAAAGGGCATTCATTTAAAAAAACCTCTCAGATGTTTGCTTTCCTTTCACTCCGGGACAAATCAGTCGGATTTTGTAAACGGCTGAGCCCTGACGGGATCCCAGGAGGGGCCAGAGAAACACAGGGCTCCACATCTGAAGTTCTCTTAAAACATTAAGAGAGCACAACTAATATAAAAAAAATCCCTCTGTCTTCACAGTGTTTTCTTAGCCGTCCTAAAAGGAACATTTGGAGCTGCTCTAAAGACACTCCGGGAGAAGCAGGGATGCACAATCCAACAGCCTTCCCCAACCATGCAGGTCTGCAGGAGGAAGAGATGGGGTTTGCTTCAGATGGGAGAATTCAACAGAGGGTTATTTTAAAACACTCTGGTGGCCAAAACAAGGTGGGCTCCTGAAAGGATGCAGAGAAATCAGCAGAACACAGCAAAAGAAGCAAGAAAGCAACACCTGATCTCTCGTCATTCCCTCTGCACGTGGAACAGTCAAAGCAAACTGACTTTCAGCAGCAAGTCACAGGAACTCCCATGAGGTTAATAGTTGGCTCCACAAGGATCCAAGGCTGATCCAAAGAAGGATGGTTCCTACCCAAAATCTTCACTGCTTCATGTTCACCTTGGCACCTCCACCTGTCACCTGGTTTGATGTGCACACCCCCCGCTCCTGCTCCCTCTTCAGGCACTATGGTAACACCAACAACACAAGAAACCACTCAGGAACCACAACAACCCCACCACTGCTGTGCCACCTCCCTCCTCCATCCGCTCCTCTGCAAAGAAACCTTCAAATATGTGTTCCAGAGGAGCTGGCACAGGAACAGAGCTGGGTGGGACCATGGGTGAGGAGAGGTTAATGAATGATGATCATCTGCTGGCTGCAGAGGATGGGGAGCCCGGGGAAAGGAGCAGGAGGCAGGTTCAGAAGCCCCCAGGAACAGCCCTGCACAGGAGCTGAGCTGTGGGACACCTCAGCACACGATGCTGCAGGCACTGAGAGTTAATAAGGGTCCAAGAAAAGACAGGATGAGCTCAGAAGAGACTCCTGGAAACAGCAGCCAGAATCCTACTCAGGTTGTTCCCAAGCTGCAGATCTCCCAGGCTGGAGCACACACAGGGCTGCATCACCACACACTCGCCCCGCTCCCTTTCGGGCCCTGTTTTCCAGCCAATTAACAAGCTTCATTATGACACCCATGCAGCTCCTGGGGGACGAGCTTTAGACATTTCCAATCTCACTGATGTTGTGCTCAATGAAGCAGATCTGGAAGAAGATTAAAAAAAACTCTTCTCCCCTCCCTGCTGGGCCTAATCAATGTGCTGACCTTGGCCACGTCGGCACCGTGAGGGTTCCAGGCCTGGCCTTGACGTGGAAAAAAATTAAGGCCATTCCACCTTCTTCATGGCTGATTCAGCAGCGAGAGGGAACAAGCTCAAGGCTCAGAGATAGAGCCTGTCCCAGGGCAGGCAAGGAACCTCCACAGGGTCTGGAGCCTCCTGAAGATGGACAACATCTGATCTTCTCAGGGCTGCAGATGCTTGGACAGGAGAACACTCAGTTCAACCCAGCAGAGGCATTTACACCATTTATCTACAAGCTGAGTTTTCACACACAAAATGAAGGTTTGTTCATAGTTGCTCTGCGAGGTTTCTACTGCCTGTCTCTGCAGCTTGATATGAACTGCTGAGCCACAGGATCCCTGACTGGTTTGGGTTGGAAGGGACTTTAAAGCCCATCCAGTCCCCATTCCTGCCATGGGCAGGGACACCTTCCACTAGCCCAGGGTGCTCCTTTGATCCATCCTGGCCTTGGACACTTCCAGGGATCCAGGGGCAGCCACAGCTGCTCTGGGAGACCTGTGCCAGAGCCTCACCTCCCTCACAGGGAACAATTCCTTCCTGATTTCTAATCTAAATCTCCCCTTGTTCAGATTAAGGCCATTAACTGAATGTGCCAGGCTCGCTCAGAAACACACCTGAAGCTCCAGCTGGGTCAGAAACCTCCTCTCTGCACCACCACGCGTGGACAACATCACCCTGCTCAGCACACAGCACAGAAACACCTCAACCTGCACACACTGCACCCCTGCTCTGCTCCATCCCGGAGCAGCCTGGCCAGCAATCCCCTGCACCCCCAGCAATCCCCTCCACCCCCAGCAATCCCCTGCTCCTCCACCCCCAGCTCCCACAGGACTGGGCCCCTCGGATTCCTTGTGCTACCCAGCCTGCTTCCAAAGCCCTCCTGACACACTGTGCAGCTGGATGGGAGATGACAGGCAGGATGTTGCAGTCCTGCTCCTCAAGGCACCATGAGGGGCTGTCCAAGAACCCTGTCTAGGATCTGTTCCTCCTGCAGCCACACCTGGGACACAGCCCGGTCTGAAAACTGGCACAGGAAAACCAGACTGCAGAAACACTTCCCTGAGAGCTGGGTACTATTGTGCCAGGGGAAGTTTAGATTAGATATTAGGGAAAATTTCTTCAGAGAAAGGGTTGTGAAGCAATGGCACAGGCTGCCCAGGGAAGTGGTGGAGTCACCATTGCTGGGAGTGTCCAAAAAAAAACGTGTGGATGTGGCACGGGGGGATGTGGGTTAGTGTTGAACATGGTGCTGGGTTGACAGGTGGACTGGATGATCTTAAACATCTTTTCCAACCTTAACAACTCTGTGATTCCATGATTTTATGGTTTCAGACACCCAACACCAGCCCTGGTCACTGAAGCCAAACGGTGCCTCTCAAATCAAATCCACGGTTGCAACTCAACTCCAGCCCAAAGCACCTTCTGCTGTGGGGCTGCTGGGGGAGAGCTGAGCACAGAAGGGGTCTGGGTGGTTTTATTTTAAGCCCTCTTGTTTCTGAAATAACCACGGTACTTCACAAACCACCAGGATATCCCATCACACAGGTGAGTTTTCCTCAAATCCATAGAATCCTTAGGTGGGATGGCACGGCCTGACACACTCCATTCTACCTTTACCACCCAGAGCACCAGATGGATTTCAGAGCAATTAAGCAGCATCTCACTTTGGGGCCAATTTTTTTTATTATTATTATTATTATTATTTTAAAGCTTCATTTATTTTCCATTTATCTCTGGGCTGAACATC